CAACTGTGTTTGTGTAGCTCCAACCGAGGTCGACCCCTGGTGTGTTTTGGACCTACGCAGCAATACTGCAGCAATCTAACGAACCAGACTGGAAGAGGAACACTGAAGGAAAAGAAAAACTGCAGGAAAGTGTGACTCAAATCAGATCGTTTTGTCTCTCGCATGTATCCGACTTTTTGATGGCAGTCGAAGCCTTTTCCCCTCCAAAATGAATCAGAGATGTCCCACTTCCATATGTGGTACTAAATCGGATACATTTGGATCGGAAATGTTTGTCTGCTCAGTGGTGCAGTGGGTAGCACTCCTGCTTTGCAGCAAGAAGGTTCTGGGTTCGATGCGTGAGTTCTCTCCGGGTACTCCGGCTTCCTCCCACAGTCCAATTTAATAATTAATTGGACTGTGTAGTTGCCATTAGTTGGCTTTTCTAAATTGTCCTTAGTGCGTGAATGATTGTTTGTCCTGTGTGTCTCTGTGTTGCCCTACGATGGCGACCTGTCCAGGATGTACCCCGCCTCTCACCCGATAGGCACCAGCACCCCTCGCGACCCCACTCGGGACAAGCGTGTCAGATAATGGATGGATGGATGTTTGTCTGCGTTCTGAACGTTCATGTCTCCTTTACTCCCACTCTCAGGTTATCAACAACTGAGAATATTAACAAAGAGATTTCAAACTTTCAGTTTAACCAGCATAGGTGCTGAAATGAGCTTGACCCCTAGTGGGAGGGGGCCCAGATGTCACTCATGAAAAAAAAAGTGTAGCAGCCTGAATTTCTGCGTAACTGGGATAAATATAATATTTTTTAACAGAACCAGGTATTGCAAAGTAAATGCGTTGAGATTATTTTTGCTTTGGAAGCATTCCAACATATACTCATTATTTTAAAAAGGGCTGCATGACATCAGGATGATGAGCTAAAAACCGCGGTGATGTTCAATTTACCTGCAATTCTCTGTCTCTTTACTTCTGCTTAGCTGCGTTTATTATAATGTTGGTGAATAACTGGATATGTTATGTTTATTGCATAATGTTTTTCAGTTTCAGTTCTTACTGCGGCTCACTGAAGTAGTTTGCTGTATTATAATGCATCATATGTACTTGTTTGATTCGTTTATATGTGCAGAAAACACTGAATGTTCCTCCTATGGTTTCAGGTTTACCTTAAGAAAGTAAAAGTTTCAGGGAAATTGGTGTTGATTTGTGTGGTTGTTCTGAGCTGCTTGCTTTAAGACCCCACTGGCAGGTCGCTGTGTTTCCGGACGCTGTAAATTAAAGTGTGTTTATAATCCGCGGTGTATTGCAGAGAGTTTAACACCCACCAATTAAGTGACTCCTGCACTTTTTACACACTCTGACCTGCAACAGAGTTGTTTGCAGCATGGCCCTTTGAAGCGTGTGTTACCCCCAATTAACCCCCCAAATTAATCCCTCGGTCTGCAAACCGGCTGCTGCTCTTGTCTCATCTCAGCGCTCCCGCCGCATAGACAAAGCAATGCCTAGTTCCCCCCGCTGCTTGTTCATTCTAAGGTTTGAATTTTTTCCCTGTTTGACACCTTTTTTAAAAATTTTGTTCACTTTGCAGCTGGAGCTTGAAGGTGACTTCCTGTAGACCTATTTACAGGAGGAAAATCTTTGTGAAACAGAGAGAAAGCTGTGCAGCTCACCCACCTACATCCTACCGGAGGCTGCAGGAAAAAACAGAAAAGATGGCCCAAAGATCCGGCATTCCTTCGATGCTTCTGGCATTATGCTGCCTGACGTCTGCAGGTGAGTTTGCTCTAAAGATCATAGAAACCATTTAAAACCAATTATTACACGTCCCGCTTTTGATTATTTTATTATTATTGCACACCGGTCCAGACTCAAATATATATTTTTTCCTTTTTATCCATTCTTGACATTCAAGAAAAATTATTGATATTGAAACTGTCTCAATTGACTTGGTTGTCTTTTTATTTAAAGGTTCTACAAATAATGCACCCACACAGTTTTTAAGCTGGTTTCCAGTGTGTGATACAGGGTGCTTCTTTGCCTGTTATGTATATGGACTAAATCATCTCAGCTCTGTCTTCTAAATCTATAGCTGTCCTGTTAAATTGGCCATGTTCTATGCTAAACTACAGGCAGAATCTATAACAG